ATTTCTTACCAAGCATTGCAGCCTCCTCCTTTTGTTTACCCTTCACATCCCTTCCCAGCCTCCCCTCTCTCCCTCCTCTCCCGTTTATACCTACCTCACAGATTAACCTTCTCCTCCCTCTGACCTAGCTAGCTCCCCAGTCTCTCTCTGCTCACACACTAACAAAGTTCCTAAACAAAGAAGGAAAGAGATTCTTTTTTGATTACTTTATTGTTTGTTTGTGGGACCGTGGGGCTTGACTCTAGGTCTGGGCGCTGTCCCTCAGCTCTTCAGCTCAAGGCTAGTGCTCTACCACTTGAGCCACAGCGCCCACTTCTGGCTTTTTTTTGTGTATGTGGTGCTGAGGAATCGAACCCAGGGCCTCATGCATGTGAGGCAAGCACTCTACCACTGCGCCACCTTCCCAGCCCCATTTGATTGTTTTCTGAGAGGTGATATACAGTGGGTTTACATATGTCAGGCAATAAGTACATTTCTTTCCTTTTGCTTAGTGTCCTCTGTTCCCTCACTCCGTCCCATTACCTCCCTCCCATCTCTGCCCACAAATTGCATGGTTCACTTTCATCAATGTCTCGCGTAGCCAGTGAGCTCTGCTGCTGCACATTTGCACCATTTTCCACTGCTTCCCTCAGATGTGCACGTGTATATGCTATATACAGGGTAAGGAATAAGAAGTCATCTGAAAACAAAAAAGCAGATTAAGTAAAGGTCCTTTGTTTCCTTATTTTTGGAGTTTGTTTCAGTATGTATACTATTTCATATTCATACGAAGAGGTGCTTGGCTATTACAACTTGGTGCTTTTCTCCTAAGACTATCTTCCTTGGTCTCACTGTATATGGGTGTCTAGACTCCTGTATACTTTGTCATATCCAGTTACATTTTAAATCTAATTTCCACCTCTCAGGGGGAACATGCGCTGTTTGTCTCTCTGATCTTGGCTTATCTCGCTCAACATGATTTGTTCTAGTTCCATCATTCCCCTGCAAAGGACGTTATTTTATCCTTTCTACTGGCTGTGTAAGATTCCATTGTATATAGGTAGCACGTGTTTTGGATCCATTCATCTATTGTGGGGCATCTGAGTTGTGTTGATATCTTGGCTAGTGTGAATAGTACAGCAATGAACATGGGTGTACAGGTGTCCTTGTCATATCCTGTTCATGATGCTCAGGATAGATGCCCAGGAGTGGTATGGCTGGTATATTAGGTTTGGGAGGGGGAAAGAGATTCTTTTTCTGCCCTATACCTTCCTTGCTTCCTCCCAGAAAGGATTTCTAAGTTAAAAAGGATTCTGTGACTCAAGTGAGAAGACCAATTCTGTTCCACAAATCAGTCATGGCAAAAGCTAGGGTCAGAGGGCTGACACTTGTAATCCAAGCTACAGAGGAGGCTGAGATCTGAAGATCAAGTTTTAAAGCCAGACTCGGCAGGAAAGTCTGTGAGATTCTTATCGGTAATTAACCACCAACAGAAATAGGGCTAGGACTCAAGTGAAAGAATGCCAGGCTTGAGCAAAAAAAAGCTCAGGGACAGTGTCCTGACCTGTGCACACACACACACACACACACATTCACATATACACACACTCACATACAGAGAGAAAGAGAGAGAGAGCACCCTACGGTACTGTTGAATACCAGATGCTTACTTTGCTTAATTCATTCCTTCAGCCAGTGTTTATAGAGGACTTCCAAGTACTAGGGTGCTATCCTAGGTGCTAGGCACAGTCCCAGGTACTAGGAACCTGGTAATAGTCATTGCTCTGCTAATTGTTGAATGGACTTGAGGAGAAGGACGGAGGTCGATATAGCAATAGAGTACACAGAGAGAGAACAACATGGAAGAAGTAAGTGTTGACCAGAGAGCATAAGGTCCAGATGTTTATAGTAAGGTTTTTGACTGGATGCTAGGTTTTTGGGGCTCTAAGCTGTGGAGGTATATGATCCATTATACACTTTATTTACTTTTTGTCGGTCATGGGGCCTGAACTCTGGGCTTGGCCGCTCTCCCTGCACTCTTCAGCTCAAGGCTAGCACTCTACCGCTTGAGCCACAGCGCCACTTCTGGTTTTCTAGTGGTTCATTGGAGATAAGAATCTCACGGACTTTCCTGCCCGGGCTGGCTTTGAGCTGTGATCCTCAGATCTCAGCCTCCTGAGTAGCTAGAATTACAGGCATGAGCCACCTGCACCTGGCTTCATTATAAACTAGAAATGATCACTGTAGTGGAGTGGAGTACTTGGTCACCTTTTCAAAGCAGGTGAGTGAGTATCACCTAGTGTGACCTCAGTGACTTCCTACTGTGCCCTCCTGTGCCCCATCAGGGTGTCCCAAACTCTGTGTGTGTGTGTGTGTGTGTGTGTGTGTGTCTCAGTTCTTTCTAGGAGATGGGGACCCAGAGTCGGGAACAGAAGAGCCCAGTGAAGGGCAGGAAAAGTCAGAGCAGCTAATGATGCCGACGCAGACAAATCCATTGCATTAGCCCCTGTGTGGCGCACCGGTCCTCAGAATCTTCTTCCACCACAATTCTGAATTTTTCTTTCTCTAATGCACCCCTAGCTCTAGCTTTCTTTCCTGATGTCCACGTTTGCTTCTTAGGATACAGCTCTCTACCCATCTTACTTCCCTGAATGACTCAAATCTTGGGAAGTTAAGTGTGATCAGGGCAGAACAAAATATCCAAAATGGTTCTTGTGTTCTTATGAAAGACCCCCCCCCCAAAGAGAAATGGGATTCACCAGGGTTTGAATGAAAAAGAAAAAAAAATCTCCCCAGCAATAGGATTGAGATAATACGTGTGCCCTGGGCTGGTTTTTAAAGTACTAAATCTACAAAATCCACGCTGAAATTCTGTTAAGTACTCTCTGGGGGATACCCCTAGCCACCCCCCCCCAAGTCTTGCCATTTCTTCCATTATACTTCTGCTGTTTTCAAGCAGAAGGAGGCTGGACAGCTTCCAAAAAGCTAAATAGGAAGCGTATCGCTTCCAAGGGGCGGACAGAGAGATCACTTTCCATCAGACCACTTGGCACGCATCGCATTTCCAAGGCAATCCACAAACACTCTCCCTAGTCCATGGAGACTCTGCTAAGAGGATTTCCTCCCCCAGCCTCACCTGGCCAAAGCTACACTGAACACTCCGGCTGCCTCTCTAGACTTCATTTCTTCATCTAGAATCCAGAATCACCAGCCTGTCATTTCCTGGCTGCCCTTACCAGTGTCTTACAGTCCACTGCTCCCAAACGGATTTGTAGCTCGCTCTCTCCCTCATGCTCTTGTTTCTATGAATGGCATTACTCTTCCTTCCCTCTGGTGTCCTGGCTGGCAATGTCTGAATCATTTCTGACTCATCCTGCTCTCTTATTCTCTGTAGTAAATGAGCTGCCCAAACCCACAACCTCTGATTCCCTGATGTCACTTGAATCTATCCCTTCCCCCCTCTCAATGTGAGCTGTAATCATTTTCTTTTGGGAGGGGGGGAAGGGAGGAGCATCCTGACTCCCCCCCCCTCACTGTTTTTTCTTTGTTTTTGCTGTTGGTCTTGGGGCTTGAACTCTGGGCCTGGGCGCTGTCCCTCAGCTCTTCAGCTTAAGGTGAGCGTTCTACCACTTGAGCCACAGCGCCACTTCCGGTTTTCTGGTGGTTTATTGGAGATAAGAGTCTCACAGACTTTCCTGCCTGGGCTGGCTTTGAACTGTGATCCTGAGATCTCAGCCTCCTGAGTAGCTAGGATTACAGGTGCGAGCCTCCAGCGCCTCGCTCCTCCTTACTGTTAACCCAGCTTTACAGTGAAGGCTCCTAAAACTCACATCCGTTCAGGCCGCGCACTATGGCTTCTCATTGCTGTCACTTTTAAATGTCCTCTTCTTTCCCAGAGATCCCCAGTTCCTTTTCCAGTGTTCTATGTTTAACCTAAACATCGCCAATGGTAACTAGCAGTTTTCCTTTCTTAAACAGCCATAACATTTCAATGCTCTTGCAAAAGATATGATCTTTTGTTATATAAAAAAAAATTACTGGGCTGGGAAGGTGGCTCAGTGGTAGAGCGCTTGCCTTGCATTCACGAGGCCTTGGGTTCGATTCCTCAGCACCACATAAGCAGAAAAAGCCGGAAATGGCGCTGTGGCTCAAGTGGTAGAGCGCTAGCCTTGAGCTGAAGAGCTGAGGGACAGCGCCCAGGCCCAGAGTTCAGACCCCACGACCGGACCCCCCCCCCAAAAAAAGATATGATCTTTCTGAACGTTACTAAATTCTGTGTTCTGTTTATTTAGAAGACTGACCATTCTTCTATTATTGGTCTCATCTGACTCCAGAATTCACTCTCCAAACCATGAAACCATAATAATCTTTGTTACTTGTATTCCTGATATTTTAGTTTAGATTTAGCTGATGTTTTGTTTTTGTTTTTTGGTTTTGGTTGGTTGTGGGGCCTGAAATCTGGGCCTCAGCTCTTTAGCTCAAGGTTAGCACTCTACCACTTGAGCCACAGCACCACCTCCAGATTTTTCTGCTTATGTGGTGCTGAGGAATCGAACCCAGGGCCTCATGCATGCAAGGCAAGCACTCTACCACTGAGCCACCTTCCCAGCCTCATTGCTGATGTTTTATAACTGAACTGAGGCCTGAGGCCTGTGTCCATCAGTGGTTGGAAATATCTGTGCAAGTTAAGAGTGTGGAAATGTAACTTGATACACCAGGAGATGACTTCAAGTTGCTTCTGAGTAGGTCAGTTGGTAGCGAAGAGAAAACTTTATGGCTTTTTGCTTGTTTGTTTTGTGTTTTGGTGCCAGTACTAAGGATAGATCTGTCCCTTAGATTTCTCATTAAAGGCTAGTGCTCTACCATTTAATCTGCAGCCCCATTTCTTGCTGGAGATGAAAGCCTCATGAACTGCTCTGCTCAGGGTTGGCTTTGAACCATAATCCTCATATCTCAGTCTCTTAAGTATGAGTCCCGGATGCCTGGATTATGGCATTACTTGTTCTTCTCTTTTATTCTAGTACATGGGCTGCATTGAAGTACTTCAATCAATGAGGTCACTGGATTTTGGAATGAGAACCCAAGTTACAAGGTAAGACACCCCAAACTACAAGGACATTAAGGACTGTAAGATCATAATAGTTTTGTTTGATTGATTTGCTTTCCTGCTTCTATTGTTATTATTATTATTATTATTAAGGTAAAGTACAGAGGGATTACAGTTACATAAGTCAGAACAATGCCCCTCCCTCACTTCATTATGGATTTTTTTTTGTTTTTTATTGGTCTGGTCCTGGGGCCTGAACTCTGGGCCTGGGCGCTGTCCCTCAGCTCTTCAGCTCAAGGCTAGCACTCTACCACTTGAGCCACAGCACCACTTCCAGCTTTTTTCTTTTTGCTTATGTGGTGCTGAGGAATGGAACCCAGGGCCTCAGGCATGCAAGGCAAGCGCTCTACCACTGAGCCACCTTCCCAGCCCCTTCATTATGGATTTTTATCCACATGGTTGGAAGGTAGAATAAACCTCCACTGACTTTGAGTGAGTGGTTTTATCTCATCTGTGTGAAAATTTTCCAACTGTGTCAAAGCGTCTGTGTTCCAGATGCGGACAAAGAAGATGTTTCTACAGAATAACTGGTTTCCCCGGTGCCAAAGTATTTATGCCTGCAAAGAGGACATTAGAGAGCCTCAGACCTGTCACTGATAGTTGGGTGGCTCACACCTGTAATCCTAGCTACTCAAGAGGCTGAGATCTTAGCATCATAGTTTGAAACCAGGCCAGGCAGGAAAACTTTTGAGACTCCTATAACCAACAAAAGGCCAGAAGTACAGGTGTGACTTAGGAAGTAGAGTGGCAGCCTTGAGCAAAGTAACAAAGGGAACAAAAGGAGAGCATCCAGGCCCTGAGCTTAAACCCCCAGTACTAGTACACATTTATGAAAATAACCAGTTGAACCACCAGTTTATGTTTTTTGTGCCCATCCTGGAGCTTGAACTCAGGGTCTGGGCACTGTTCCTGAGCTTTATTGCCTGAAGGCTAGTATTTTACCACTTGAGCCACAGCTCCACTTCTGGATTTTTTGCTGATTAACTGGAGATGAGAATCTCACTGACTTTTCTGTCGGGGCTGGCTTTGAACCATGAGCCTCCAATCTCAGTCTTCTTAACCCTTTATTTCTCAACAGAAAACCTCTAGAAAGCTTCTGGAGGTTTTATTTTTAAGAAAGGTAGAATGTCAGAGAAGCTAGAGTTGTAATTCTTCTGTATCTTTTATTGATGGGGGAGTGGGGCTTGACCTCATAGCTCTATCATTGAGCCATAGCTTCACTTCTGGCTTTTTGGCAGTGAATTGGAGATAAGAATCTTATGCCCTTTCCTGCTCAGGCTGGCTTTGAACCTTGATCCTCAGAGCTTATCCTTCTGAGGAGCTAGGATTACAGACTAATGCCTGAATAATTCTTCTACATCCTAAATAGAGAAAGAAACTAATGATACAGTAATAACATAGGACCCAAAATTCAGTAAAAACCAATCTCACCTTGAAAAGTCATTTGATTAAAGGAGACCTTAGCTTGAGGCCAAAGGAAATGCCAGCAAGCAGTGTAGGTCTATTACCTGCAGGGCAGATTTGTTCTCTCTCTCTCTTTCTTTCTTTCTCCTTTCGTCCTTCCTTCCTTCCTTCCTTTCTTTCTGGTTGGTCTTGGGGACTGAATTCTGGGCCTGGGCACTGTCCCTCAGCAATTCAACTCAAGGCTAGTGCTCTACCACTTGACCCACAGCACCACTTCTGGCCTTTTCTGCTTATGTGGTGCTGAGGAATCGAACCCAGGGCCTCATGCATGCAAGGCAAGCACTCTATCACTGAGCCACCTTCCCAGCCCCTTGTTCTATTTCTTGTTGGTATTTTCTGTAGGAAAAATAAGAAATGGCAAGAAAGTACAGTAACTATATAGCCTTGCTCATTTTAATGTTACATGATTGAGTTGGAGCTGTGAGACTGACATTTCCTCTCTAGATGTATATTTCCCAATGATGTTTATAAACAAAGCCTTTTTGGCCTAGCTCAAGTGCCACTGTAGAGATGTTCTCTGAAAAATAGTTCTTTTCACTGCTCTCTGTGATAATAGATTGAAAGCATGTAAACAAACAAGCCAGGTGCTGGTGGCTCATGCCTATAATCCTAGCTACTCAGGAGGCTGAGATCTGAGATTTGTATCTCCAATTAACCACCAAAAAACCAGAAGTAGTGCTGTGGCTAAAAATAATAGAGCTTACCAAGTGCTGGTGGTTCACACCTGTAATCCTAGCTACTCAGGAGGCTGAGATCCGAGGATCACGGTTCAAAGCTAGCTCAGGCAGGAAAGTCCATGAGACTCTTATCTCCAATAAACCACTAGAAAACTGGAAGTGGCGCTGTGGCTCAAGTGGTAGAGCACTCACCTTGAGCTGAAGAGCTGAGGGACAGCACCCAGGCCCAGAGTTCAAGCCCCATGGCTGACAAAAAAAGAAAGGAGATGGTATCTAGTTAAGTGCAAATGCACAAATAACTGTGGCACGGGTCACCAGCAAGTCTCAGGTAGATGAAGACTTCCGTGTGAGGGAGTAAGGGAAATAGATCTGGGAGGAGGGGGAGAGGCAGACTAGTGACCAGTTTACAGCACAGGCTTCAGGATCCCATGGGCACAGATGGAGCTGGGGTAGCCCTTCTGAGTTGGAAACCTGGCTTTGGAATCCCATTCACTGGATATCTGCTGCATCCAGAGCTGGGACAAATGCCCGAGCAACGACTTCTTTAGAGGAAGACAATTTCTAGAAAAGATGTTCATCTGTGAGACCTCCAGTCAGCTAAAGTACTCTGCTAGGTGCCATAGTTTATATAAAAAAAAATCAGCTCTGAATTCTGCCTTTATAGAAACTGCATTGTCTACTACTATCTGCACAACAGACATAATTCAGCCTATTATACATTGTTTGCACCATCCCAGATAACTCACATTGAAGACTTCGGTGTTGGACGTCAAACAAAGCAGCTAAGATCCAGCTCTTATACAGATGAAGCAGTACCGTGGCTAGCATTTACTCAGCATTATTCAAAGCACTACTCTCATGTCTACTTCATACAATGAAGGAATTGAGACTCACAGAGATTTTACAGTGTGTTCAAGGTCATCGGGATTGTAAGAGACAGCTAGAGTTTGAACTCTGCCTCTCTCCCTGTAATCCACTCAGCCGGTCTTTTTCTTTTTCTTTTATCATGAGGAATAGCATTATGGATAAATGAAATCCCTTGACTTCTGTTTCTTTTTACATTTGCTATAATTTTGCACTTTCGTTTATTGCTGTGTCCACCAAGCACTTTGTACTATATCATGCTCCTGGTATAACTTGATGAAAGTTAGTTGCTATTTAAAGAAAAATAATTTTCCTTTTTCTCTCCCTCCACTGAATGCTGGTAGGAGAGACTAAAAAACAACATGAAATGATAATTTAGCGTATAAAAGGACTTCCATAATTCTTATATTGATTAGTAAGAGATCCATGTCTTTTTGTTGTTGGTGGTGGTGGTGGTGGTTGTGGAGCTTGAACTCTGGACCTGGGCACTGTCCCTCAGCTCTTCAGCTCAAGGCTAGCGCTCTACCACTTGAGCCACAGCGCCACTTCCCGCTTTTTCTGCTTATGTGGTGCTGAGGAATTGAACCCAGGGCCTCAGGCATGCAAGGCAAGCGCTCTACCACTGAGCCACCTTCCCAACCCTTATGCTTGGTTTTTAAAGGAACATCCAGACGGCTGTCCAGAGTGGTTGTACTACTTTACAACCCCACCAACGGCCTACAGCTGCTTTTTTAACTACATGGAGTAACAAGAGTTGTGGCTAAGCCCATGTGGTCTAAAAAGCCTTCCAGATTTGCTCCTTGGCCTTTTTTCCCCTGAAGTTTGTGGACTGTTGGAGTAGTGTGAGTCTCAACTATCCTAGGTTGGAAGTAGTTAAGAGAAGTTGCTTTACTCCCAGTCCCTAAGTTCTATCCTGCACCACTTCAATCAGGCTCTCTGGAGATGATATTTGGCCATCTGAACATGTTAGCCCTCCAGTATCGCAATCAAGGCTGAGAGCCACCATCCCCAGCATGAATGCCTTTCCCGGGGCAGATGCCTCAGCCTCTAGGCCTCCAGGCTGCAGATGAAAGAGAGAAGCCAGGGCCATTATCACCCGCTGTGTGATGGGAGGGGCAGGGCCACCAGTGCTCTCTGGTAAAACCATTTTACTGAGGTGGCAGGGAGGGAGAAGAGAGGACAATACCCAATATCTCTCCCAGAATATAGAGTGAGAAGTTGAAAACAGATTCCCTCTCCACCTTCAAATGGGCAATGTCACCTCCCCGATCCTAGCCTCTAGAAACAGGTGACCTAATTCCCTAGCATCCACCAACAAAGCCATCTGTCCCACGCTGGAAAGCAGGATGCCACGTCCCCCTGTGTAGTGAGTCCAAGAGATTTAATCAGTAGTCCAGGAATGACTTGAGAATCACCAGTGGGATTGGTTAGACTGCAGGTTCCCTAGCCCCGTTCAGATTTGCAGAATCCAAGTCCCTAGGATGAGCCCTAGAAATTGGCACTCGAACCAGCCAGTTCCCAGTGATTATTAAGGACTTCAAAGTATGGCCATCACTTACTTACAAGGGGGTGTTGCATGCTCGGTGAGCATACTTGCTGAATGAAGTTGTCTAACCACAGGAGATTTTGCTGGTGTGCTAGTTAACACCTTTCAAATGTGAACACATATGTAAAGAGTGATCTTCCTACATAAAGCCTGTCATGTGTAATACATATATGCCAAATGACCTTTAAAAAGAACTAGTTTTTTTGGTTTTTTGTTTTTTGTTTTTTTTGGTCCGGTCGTGGGACCTGAACTCTGGGCCTGGGTGCTGTCCCTCAGCTCTTCAGCTCAAGGCTAGCGCTCTACCACTTGAGCCATAGCGCCACTTCCGGCTTTTTTCTTCTTGCTTATGTGGTGCTGAGGAATCGAACCCAGGGCCTCATGCATGCAGGGCATGCACTCTACCACTGAGCCACCTGCCCAGCCCCAAGGCTTGACTCTTCATAAAGACTATACAGTCATCCCTTTGTGGGTGTGGATGTTTGAGCATTGAAATGCGTGTGTCTCTTACAGGAAACCAGCGCAGCGCTGAACAGGCTGAACAGGACGTGGGCCCTTGATGGGAAGGAGATGAGGTGCTTGGGCTAGGGCGGTCCTTTGCTTCCATTTAGTTCAATTGGAGCCAAAGGACAGACATAGAATAGACAGAACAACCCATGAACTAAGGCTGCTGAGCTGGGTCGAGTTGCAAATGTATTTTAGAAATCAGATTTGAAGTCTAATCCCAGCGGATGGAGTGATGAGAGAGAGTCAGTAGTGGGTACGTGCTGTGGGCGGCCCTGAAGGGTTTTTTAATTCAACCACCCTGGGACTTGAAAGGCCTGTTTCTAAAATGAAAGGCTATATTCTGAGAGCCAGGTGCATACCCTCCTTGGGTGCTGGGTGATGCCTGTTGATAACGGCACAGAGAGAATTTAAACAGCTTTCCATTTTTAACCGGTCTGTGTGCTCTGACTGTGTTCATTGTCTACTTATCACTAGCGAGGCAGGCTCAGGTTCCAAAGTATCCTGTCCCAGGACTTTTGCAACCTTTGACTGTCTTTAATTTCACCAAGCTGAGCAAAATTGAACACATAGCTCACGGAGCCTTGATTTAAAAATAAAATAGAAGATGCTACTGGGTCTATGTAGAACAATCAGGACAAAATAATACCTCTAGTGCAGTATTAAAAGAGTTTATAAACGTTACGTTTGTTTTTTGTTTCTGGCCAGTCTTGGGCTTGAACTCAGGGCCTGGGCACTGTCCCTGAGTTTCTTTTGCTCAAGGTTAGCACTCTACCACTTGAGCCACAATGCCACTTCTGGCTTTTTCTGTGTATGTCGTACTGAGGACTCGAACCCAGGGCTTCATGCATGCTAGGCAAGTACTCTACCACTGAGCCACCTTCCCAGCTCCACTTTGCCAGGGACTGTCCCTTGGGAGAATAGAGGCCAACTAGTTTTGCCTCTAGTTTTGTATTTTTGCCCCCCTCTCCCCCCCCCGACCTTTTTGAGAGTATTTCTGACTTTTATTTTGGAAAAGCTCTTGCTGTGATTGATTCTCCCTGCCCTTCCTTCCTTTCATTTCAATTTGCTTGGACAAAACTGAAACCTTTCTTTTACTCTGTGTGTGGGGGGGGCGGGGTAGAGGATGTGAATGTCCCTTAATTTTATATTACCCATTTGCTGCCTTTGCTGTTTACTGAACAACTGCATTTCACCAGGAAACAAAACAAAACAAAGCCATAGCCCCTCCTCTCATTAGATATTCTATTTCATGATATTGCCTTCCAAATTTTTTTTTTTGAGGGAGGAGTGTTAGGCAACATTGCTTCCCAGAGGAGCTGAAACTGTTTTTCACACACACACACACACACACACACACACACACACACACACACACAAAACTTAAGCTCTGTAGTAGCCTAAAGAAAGATGATTAGTTTAGTTTGGACTTTAAGAAAGACAAAACATCTTTTTTTTGTGTGGTCTTATGGTATATGCAGGGTTTATGGTCTTAAAAGAAAAAAAAATCTTCAACTGCCTTCTCCTTCTCTTCCATCAACCCACATCTCCTCTCCCCTCTTGTGGTTAGACAATAAACAAAGTGACCACTTCTTCCCTCTCCCTTCCTCCTCCTCTCCCTACTTCTCCCTTCTCTCTGTCTGTCTCCCTCTGTCTCTCTAGCTCTGTCTCTGTCTCTCATAGGCTCCCATGGTAGAAGTCTTCAGCCATTTAAACTCCAAGAGGTCTGCTCCCCTAAGAGAGTTTATTTGCTAATACAGTGCTCTAGCTGGAGAGAATCTCATAGCCTGACAGCCACAGAAATGCAGGCTGATGGCGGCTGCAGAATGGCCTGGGGACCTCTTGGCCCTGGGAGAAATCACTACTGGGGGGAGGAGGGGGAGGGGGTTGGAGGGGTGCTCAACTTTTATTTGCTTTTTATTTCTTCAGGATTTGTGAAGTCCATGCCCGAGACTGGAGAGTGTGGTTGAAATTCTAGCAAAGCTCTGAAAGTACTATTTGTTCTTGAAAATGTTAAGAGTTAATTTCTTGGTCCCAGTCTCTGGGTAAGAAAAAGATCTTTGTGAAGAAAAGTAACAAAATGCAAGCATAGGTCTGCCTTCTGTGGCTGGGATTTCAGATTCCTTCACACAGTGACCAACAAAAAAAGCAAAAACCTGAGAAGTTATTTTTCAGTGATGCTTCTAGAATGTTTTCTGGGGAAAGGGAGGTGAGGATAGAAAGTGGACTCTTTACTGTTGAATTTTGTACAGATAGGTCTGTTTGGGGAGAGAGCCTGAGGATTATTTTGGAGAAAGACAGAGAGGGAAGGAAGGAAGGAAGGAAGGAAGCACTTCCTTCCTTCTTTCCTTCCTTCCTCTTTCCCTTTTACTTTTCCCTTTTTTCTATCCTCTTTTCCTACCTTTTTACAAATTCTTGCTATGTAGTCCAGGAACCGATAATCTCCTTGCTTGTGAAATCTTAAATGCTAAGATTCCAGGCATAAGCCACACACCTGGCTTTATTAACTCTTTCTATAGCACAATAATTTGCACATAGCTGCTACTAATGTGTCTTTATCAATCCATGTTCTGCTTTTTCCCCCCTTGAATTATGTAAATAGTAATCTAGGTCCCTAGCAATGGATCTAGATTGCCATCTTTTCCAACAGTGGAATTTTTTTCTTTTTTTTTGCCAGTCCTGGGGCTTGAACTCAGGGCCTGGGCACTGTCCCTGAGCTGCTTTTGCTCAAGCCTAGCACTCTACCACTTGAGCCACAGCGCCATTTCCTGCTTTTTCTGTGTTTGTGGTACTGTGGAATCAAACCCAGGGCTTCATGCATGGGAGACAAGCACTCTACCACTAAGCCACATTCCTAGCCCCAAACAGTGGATTTTGTATTCATCTTTCCCTCCCCCTCTTTTTGGTGGTGCTGAGGTTTGAACTCAGAGCCATATATTTGTTAGGCAAGCACTCTACTATTTGAGCCCAACCCCCTAAACTTGGTTGCTTTATTTTTTAGATAAGATTTAATACTTTTATTTATTTTTGGCTCTGGTTAGCCTCAAACTACAATCTTCCTGCCTACTCCACCCCATAACTAGTACCACAAGCATGAAACATTATGCCCAGTTTCTTTCTTTCCTTTCTGTTAGCGTACTTAGTTGTTGTACTAGGGACTTGAATTGTAACATTTCTGCACATATAGACAAAGATCAACCACACCTCCCTGACTCCCCCTGACTCCACTCCTTTCTTCTTAAAACCATGTCAACAGGCCTCACCATTCTATTTTCATACATGCAGAGACAAAAGCTTTTAGTTAATAACTGCACTTCCGGAGAGGAGGGCATCTGCTTGCTTGTTCACCACTTCCATTAAGGGGCATCTACTTAGTTTAGTGGTGCTTTTCTCTCAGGAAGTGCAATATATAGTAAGGGCCGAAAAATAAAGCAAAGGAGGAAATTTGGTATTGATTTCCTTTTCTTCTGCGAAATTACATAAACGGTCAATGGCTTGTAGCAGTAACTGGGTCAATAAGGTTCCATTTGAGACTACCTTGAACCTCTCTCTAGTCTCCAGCATCCTTTACTGACATCGTCATCTGTTTGTGATCTTCTTTGGTGCTCAAAAACTATGGTGTGTGTGTGTGTGTGTGTTTGTGTGTGTGTGTGTGTGTGGTTTAAATTCAAAATACCACAATAAAGATTTTGTTAAAGTTATAATTGGAATGTATTCTCCAGAAACAAAGATCTACCACCCCACCCCACCCTTTTTTTTTTTTTTCCTTTTCTGGTCATGGGGCTTGAACTCAGGGTCTAGGCACTGGTCCCTGAGCTCTTTTTGCTCAAGGGTAGCACTCTACCACTTTGAGCCACAGTACCACTTCTGGTTTTCTGGTTGTTAATTGGAGGTAAGATTCTCACAGGGACTTCCCTGCCTGAGCTCGTTTTGAACCGTGATCTCAGCATCCTAGGATTACAAGCATGAGCCACCAGTGCCTGGCCGCCACTTCCTTTTTGAATGGAAAAAAAAAAAAAAGACAACAAGAACCAATAACACACAAGGCCAAATCTGAACATCCAAGTGGGAAGGAAATTGATGAAGTGAATGGTAGGCCCCTTGGCTGTGAAACAGCTTTTTTGAGTATTAGGGTGTTGCTAGATCTTCCTGTTTCTTTTTTTTTTTTTTGGTCTGGCATGGGGCTTGAACTCTGGGCCTGGGCGCTGTCCCTCAGCTCTTCAGCTCAAAGCGAGCACTCTACCACTTGAGCTACAGCGCCACTTCTGGTTTCCTGGTGGTTAATTGGAGAGGAGTCTCATGGAGTTTCCTGTCCCAGCTGGCTTTGAACCGTAATCCTCAGATCTTAGCCTCCTGAGTAACTAGGATTATAGATAGGCATGAGCCACCAGTGCCCGGCCTTCCTGGGTTTTAACTGCAGAAGGGATAAGCAGAGTGGGGTTCATTTATGTTGGTCTCTCCATGTCTAGGTAAAATTTGATCAGGATCATTTCTACCATTTCTGGAATAGTCACAGCACCTAGGGAGTATGCTAAGTGTCTCTGGTTTCTCTTGTAGGGAAGCAATAAGTCGTCTGTGTGAAGCTGTCCCTGGAGCAAATGGAGCCATTAAAAAGCGAAAGGTATATGGGTTGTCTTGTTTTATATTCCTCCAACTATGGCAAAGAGCGTATCAAAATACATGTTAAAGGCCAGGTGCTGGCAGCTCATTCCTGTCATTCTGGCTACTCGAGAGGCTGAGATCTGAGGATCTTGGCTGGAAGCCAGCCTGTGCAGACAAATCTGGAACTCTATTTCCAATAAATCAGCAAAGAGCTGAATGTGGAGGTGTGACTCAAGCGTTAAAGAGTGTGAGCCTTGAGCAAATATCCTAAGGGACAACCCGCAGGCTCTGAGTACGTGCACAAGCTCCAATACCAGCAAAAAGCAAAAGGGTTGGCCTCAATAAAGCAGCACCCCTTTTCTTCCTTTTCCTTCTCCTCTATACCCCAACCTCCTCTTGGTTTTTCCTTCCCTTCTCCCCCCCACTGCAGTGCTGGGGTGTATCAAGCCCAGGCCTTGTGCAGAACTGGTTCACTAAGCAAAAGCTCTAGTCCCTGGTGGGTTGTGTTTCCTTTTGTAAGATTTGCATTGAAAAGTTCAACTGGTCTAAACTCTCAGGAATTTGTTGATATAAAACAGGCCTTACTCTTGGGGAATAGAGAAGTAGGAGAAAAGTTCTGAGGCCTCAAATTTCACTTCTTAAATGACTCTGAATTTTACTTTGTAAAAGTGTTTAGTTAAAAAAAAAAAAAACAAAACCTCATTCCTTCTCATCAGAGGAGGAGTAGAGGTTTTAAAGCATTTTTTAAAGTTCTGAAAACATTACTGTAGTGGTTAAGTCTCTAGCAACATCCTTAATTTATAGTGTGGTTTCTGTTATTTTTAAAGGCCCCCGTTAAGTTGCTATCAACAGTTCTTGGCAAAAGTCATCTTCAGTTTTCGGGAATGAACATACAATTGACTATCTCCACGTGTAGCCTCACGCTGGTGAATCTAGACAGTCAACAGGTAAGAGAGCCAAGGTCATTTTATACTTTAACACATCCATTTTTTTTTCTGGAAGTCTAGGGCTAATAAAGAGATGTGTAAAGAGTATGCTTCCAGTTTAATAAACCAGAGGAAAAAAATCTGCATAGCCATAATTAGAATACTAGTATTACCAACTTGCCAACTTGTCACCCACTGAACACCAAACTGTACAAATACTTGCTGCTCAGAGAACATACTAAACACCACCTGATACGTGATGTACTTGCTTTGATCATTGGACTGGGGTGTGGATGAAGGGGCAGAGGAAGAGTAGTATGAGTTCTGGGGCTGATACTATAGCCTATTGAAACTTAAGCAGAAAACATTTTCTTCTAATTCTTCAGGTCAAAAAGTTTTCCCAAATGTTAAGCTACATTGGCACTGCTTTGAATTTAAAAAAAAAATTCTTCCATCAGGTTATTCCTGTGTGAGGGTATGATTTTTCTAATATTTACTGGCTTAAGGTTCTTGATATTGAAGGATTTACTGTAGATCAAGGTCTCATAGAAGGTTTGGCACTGGTCATGCCAGAAGCTTTGGGGCCACAGGGAGGGTAAAATGATGGGTTTTGTCACTTACCTTTCTGGGCTTCTCAGTTTGTAGACATTACGAGCTTTTTCTGTTGGCTTCTTTTTTTTTTTTTTGCCATCTTTATCTGGAGATAAATGCAACCGGCCAGTTTATTGGTCACTGGCATGTACCTCAAGAGTACCTGTCAATTTACACTGCACAATTACTACCCATACACTCATCTGACTGCAGCTATCAGCTAGAGAAGGCAACAGAAGATGTTAGGGAAGAGGCTCTAGGATTTATAACCAACAGTTTACTCCCCATCCTCTCCCCCACCCAACCAAGCTAGTGTTCCAAATGATTCTAATTATCCTTGTCACAGTCCTGGCACTTTATAGGATTTTCTCCTCCAAGGGTGGGTAAGAGGGTAAAAGGCTGAGTTGTCTTTCTACATAGAATCTGTTCTTTACTGTCATTATGGAAGAGTATCTGAATCTTTGAAATGATCATGTTGAGATCTGCTTTTATACTCACTTTGCTTGGCATAGCCTTCTGTTTTAATTATTACTCCCAAAAAACCAGCATCTTAGAGCAATAGCCATAGCAGCAACGTAAGGTTTTCCTAAGCTGGCAAATCCTTACAGGCTATACTTTCCTGAACGTTAGCTTTCAGAAGTTAATTTGTAAATCAGGTGTTTGAAAGTGGATCATTATGAACATTATTTAAACTTAGAAAAATGGACAAAAGAAATATGCCAACATACGTATGCATGCAATACTATCAGCCAAACAAACACACAGAACAAGGAATTTTATTATCTCCAATGCTGGTGCATAAGGAATAACAAGCTTAATTAGAGGAGGAGACAGAGGGAAACTTCAGATACTGAGGTGGATTTCTGGCTAGGTTTAAGACCTTCAAAGACAGATAGTATAATTGTTTGTAAAAAAAACCATTTTGGGATTTTCCTTTTACTTGAGAATTTTCACTAACAGTTCTTACAATATGAAGTTCAATCACCAGCTTAAACAAAACACAGCAAGCAAGACAAAAGATATACCTTGTATACAAGGGTACTAGAAATAGCTTTTCTTTGTACTTTCACATTTTAACATCTAAATTGAAACTTTAAAAAGAAGGGTTGATTTTCTGACATCTTAAAAGAGTCATGACAGTTAATTTTCCTGATTATAGATCACAGTCGCTTTATAAATGATCAAGATACATGTACTAACAACATTTCAGATTTCCTTAGAAACACATTTTAAAATAATAGCACATGACATTCTATATGAATTTAATTTCTTCATCCTTTCGGGGGCATGAATATTTAATGAATCTAACAATGCAAATGTAGTCCGATAATTACGCCTTGTCTAAGATCACGAATTCTGAGTTTTCACAATAGGCATTCAAGTCCAAATAATTCAAAGGTGTCTGGTGGATGTAATTCTGTTCTTCTCATTCTATGACTAGTGTCAGGGGGCTCTGGAATTGGCAGTTTATCTTGGTCATGGTTTCCTCTTGAAAAAAAATCATCTTGAAGGTGGATGGTGTCCACAAGATGTCTTCCCCCAACGCAAAGGGGAAAAAAAAAAAATCTCGATCAATAACCAAAGTCAGAGCCACAAGTGTTCCAGGACGTTCTTGAAACCAGAATTCCACAGTCCTAAGCCCTTTCCCCTCCCCCTCCCGCCCCCTTCTTCTTCCTTTCCTTCCTATTTCTTTTCCTTTTTCACCACGGTCCAGTCACTGTCCTATTGTCTTCTCTTCAGGGAAACAAAACAACAACAACAAAAAACTAACTATATATATATTTTTTCCTTTTTATGTTGAAGATCCAGCTTTTCACAGGGCTCTGTGGAAGGCAACCCAAACGATGGCGGAAATGTGGGGATCTGTCCTTAAGGAGTTTCCTCCTCCTCCTCCTTTTTTTTCTTTTTATTGCCACCAGCCTGTGATTTTACTCCCTATCGATAATCTCATCGCAACCGAGTTCTTCGGTCAGGCGATTGACCACCATGAGCGAGAAGAGCTCCTCGATGAAGGCTAGCTGGTCGAAGGGGGTCTTCTCGTAATGCATCTGGAACCCCCCGTCCAGCGCGGCCTCCCGGGCCCGGGAGGTTCGCAGAAACATCTTGTTGGCTTCTTCCAGGGCGGCGGACACCCGGTAGCCCGCGCCGCCCAGCCGATCCCCTTCGGGGTACTCGTATTCCTCCTCCCAGTCATCGAACTCCTCGTCCTCGCTCTCGAAGTCGAGGCCGGCCATGGGTCCCGGGTGCTCGGCGGCGCCGGGCCCGGCCGCCAGGCCGCCTTTCCCCCGTGGCGGGGCCGCCGCCGCCATGGGCTGGGCCGCGGCCCCCGCCTCCTCCTCCATGGGGCCTACCTCCTCCAGCGGCGGCGGCAGGTCGCCCTCGCCCAGCATCACGTCCATCTGCAGGTCGTTGCACTCCTCGTACAGCTCCGACAGCTCTGCCATCTCCGCCATGGTGATCGACATGCTGGCGGCTCTTTGGAAACGTGTGATCTTAGGTTATCTTGGCGTCTCTCTCTCTCTCTCTCCAGCCCCCCCCAAAACCCCGGGAAAAGAAAAAAAAAAATGCAACGTCCTGGGGCTTGCCTAAGCCGAGCTGCCTCCTCCTCGGGTGCGGCGGTGCGCCTGCGCGCCGGCCGCGGGAGCAGGGGGAGAGCGCGCTGACGTAATGCACTGCGCCTGCGTCCTTCTGCAGATCCGGGACAGGGAAGGGGCGTGGTCTTCCTCCTCCCCCTCCCACCCCACCCCCCACGCCTCGCTGGCCCCCCACCCCACCCCCCGCCACCATGGCGGGGAAGGAGAAGGAGGCGTTTGCTGTCTGTGTCTCTGCACACGGTTCCATGATGGTGGTGGTGGTGGGTTACATCATGATGCATTTGGACCTGTGCAAACCGAAGAGGCCCACAATAGGCAAGCGCGGTACTCTGCTCCGTTCCCCCCACCCCGCCCCGCCCCGCCCCCGGGATGCTGGAAGCTGGACAATACGTGGTCTCCATAGCAACAAGTCAGGCCCCGCCCCCTCCTTTCTTCATCCTGGTAACTGGGGCTTCTGGTCCAAGGCTTAAGGGACCTGCTCTCCAGGCGTGAATAACTGGAGAATCCACGTCTCCAAACTGGAGAGTATATGTCACGGATCCACATATGAGGAAATGATCTCTTCTGCTCATCTATCTATAATTGATCTTTTCTGCTCATCTATCTATAAATGATCCTTTCTGCTCATCTATCTATAAATGATCCTTTCTGCTCATCTATCTTTCTAATATGTTTATTGACATATATATGTATAGTCATTCACCAGAGGGAAACATACCATATATATGTATTTATATATATAAATACATATATATGTGTAAATACATATATATTTATATATAAATATAAATATATATATATATATATATATGGTTCCATTGCTTTTCTCAGGAGCTCCCTTCCCACAATGATCAATTTGATGTGTTTTCTTCCAATCTCCTTTTCTTCGCCTTCACAAGGATCTTAACATACTTGTAAGGATTTGCATGTTTCGATGAGGAGGGGGAAAAAAAAAAGACTCCGCAGTGTTGTGAAAAAAATTAGCTTTGATTCAGTCTTTTGTTGTTCTTTGCTGTTTGTTTTTCGTTTGTGTAAATGTACTGAAGTTGACCTACGTGTGCATTGATACTGTAAAGAATGGATCCCCCCCATGTTCCAGTGTTCCTCTAGAATAAAAGATGTGATGGTAGGGTATTCATTCTTCCAGTGCATGCTAACAAATTGCTATATCTAGAATAGCTGTGCATAGTTATCACACACTCAGCACATAGGATTTTGTTGAATTTTAATAATTTTTAAAATCACTTTGGTGGTATCTTGTTTTATTTTCCATACCTTTAGCTTTCTTGGAGATTGATTATCTTTCAGTAGCTTTCTCAAGCATTCGTATTTGTTTTGTGAATTAATTGGTTCTACTTGGAGTTTATTTCTATTTCTTACTGATTTGTAAGAAAACCTTATAAACTCTCTATGTGGAACTTTTTCATTTTACAAATATGTTCTCCCTGCCCATTATTGTTTGTCTTAAAAGTCTTATATAAAGGTTTTAAAGTTTGTTTTTATGTAGCCAAATACAAGATTTTTCTGCATTTCCTTTGAATATTAGAATTGATTTTTTTCAAAAAGTATGGATTTTTTCTACTTCAGTAATATATCTAGCTAGCTGATACAGAAAAAAAATAAACTCAGGGCCTTGGCACTGCTCATTAGCTTTATTGCTCAAGGCTAGCACTCTACTTCTTGAGCTATACCTCCACTTCCAGTTTTTTTCTGATTAATTAGAGATAAGAGTCTCACAGACTTTCCTACCTGGGCTGGCTTTGAACCTTGTTCTTCAGATCTCAGCCTCCTGAGTAGCTAGGAATACAGGAGTGAGTCATTGGTGTCCAGTGAAAATCTTGTCTTTGTTTTTTGAAGATTGCCTTAGCTCTTCTTGAGCATTTATTATTCCATATTTTATAAATGATTTGAATATATCTTTGTTATGTCTTGGTATCTAGTGAAGTATATCCTGTCCACTGTGTTTTTTTTTTTAATTACTTTAACTCACTGGACACAGGTGGCTCTTAGGAGGCTGAGATATTCAGCTTAGGCATGAAAATCTGTAAGATGTTTTATCTCCAGTTAACCAGTAAAAAGGCAGACATGGAACTATAGCTCATATGGTAGTGTGCTAGGCTTGAGTGAAAAAGTTTAGAGACAACACCTTGGCTCTTGAGTTCAAGCCCCAGTACTGGTGCATATACCCCCCCACCCCCATACACATACACAATTGCTTTAGCAATTTATACTTGCATGGTAATTTATACTTCCCTATTGATTTATATTTCCATATTAATTTTGGGAACATCTTGAAAAGTTCTTCTAATGACATTGGTAGCATGTCTCTCAGAATTATGTGGAATTTATAGATTAATATAGGGCTAGAAAAAATTAATATCTTGTGATATCTTTCTGTTTAATCAGGTCTTTTTAATACCCTTCAGTAAATCTTTCCCAAAACTTTACATGATTCTTATTAGTTTATACTTTAGGTATATTCTTTTTTTTCTTTTTTTGCCAGTCATGGGGCCTGAACTCTGGGCCTGAGCGCTGTCCCTCAGCAATTCAGCTTAAGTATAGCATCTACCACTTGAGCCACAGCACCACTTCTGGCTTTTTTCTGCTTATGTGGTGCTGAGGAATCGAACCCAGGGCCTCGTGCATGCAAGGCAAAAACTCTACCACTGAGTGACCTTCCCAGCCCCTTAGGTATATTCTTATAAAATGTACTTTTCTCTTTCGCCCCCAAAAGTGTCTAATTAATGAGCTATTGCTGATAGGATTACATTGAGCTTTGTACTTACTGCTTTTGTTTTTACTGAAATAGAAATATAGAAATATATGCAAATAACATGTGTAGCTTAATTGTCATGAGATGAACTTGTCTATGTAACTACTACCCAGATCAAAAGTGCCATTTTCAGCATCAGATAATCATTGGCTTCCTCTTCCTCTGCCCCAGGAGTAACGATCATCTCCACGTTCAACATGACAAAATAACTCTGCTTTTGAGCATCAGTAAATGAAGCCATACATTTTTTTAGGTTAGGGGCACCTTGTACCACAAATTCTTGCTGTATAGGAGTCCGTTGTTTGAGAATCACACTGGACAGCTAATTTACTGCTATTAGAAACAGAGTAATTATTCCTTTTCTTGAGGTTGTCATGTGTGACACTCGATAACTAAGAACAATCATTTATCATATCATGATGTTTATTTTTTTTTTCAGATTATTGCCAATCATCATATGCAGTCTATTTCATTCGCCTCAGGAGGGGATCTTGTAAGTATGGTTTGGTAAAAGTTCTTTTTAGAAAAGTTAAGTTCTATGTGAAGTGTAGGAACTACTACATGTGTTTTCCAAATGTCCTTGTAGTCTGTTAATAGGGAAATGTGGCAGGTAATTAAAAAAAATAAAAGAGTCGTATGCCAGTGGCTCATGCCTATAATCTTAGCTACTCAGGAGCCTGAGATCTGAGGATCACAGTTCGAAGCCAGCCCAGGCAGAAAAGTCCCTGTCAGATGCTTATCTCCAATTAACCACTCAAACAAAACAAAACAAAACAAAACTGGAAGTGAAGCTGTAGTTCAAGGTGGTCCAAGCACTAGCCGTGAGCAAAAAGAGCTCAGGGACAGTGCCTGGGCCTTGAGTACAAGTCCCACAACCAAAAAAAAAAAAAAAAAGACAGACTTGAGTAGAATATTTCCTGTCACTTAATTGTAAAATGGGGTTGGAGGCGTGGCCCACTTGGAGCAGTGCTGGACAGGTTCACATAGTGTCCGGGACTGAGTTTGAGTCCCAGTCTCAGACCTTAAAAAAAATTTTAAAATACTCAGATTAGGAGTTGAACTGATAATCCTTCATTGTGTTATTAGCCATGGAATTATCATTGGCTAAGCTTCTTGTTGATCACATTGAAGTCACAAAAGAAACGCCCAAAAAACAAAAACAAAAACTTGAGCATGTCTCTCCTACCTGTATTGCCAGTGGTCTCTCAGGATTATTTCCCACAGAGTCAATTGGACTTGGTGTGAGGAAAACTGGTATGAGGGAAGGAAGGCTCATTTTCCATCCTGCCTCCGAAGCAAGACGACTAAACCTACCAGAACAAGCGAACAGCTTGGCAGAAAACCCGTGCAAAGAATGGATAACTGGAGAGAGAGTACTTAGATTTCCTCTCGTCTGAGTCATGCTCACTTCCTGTGAGTTGTGGGGGCTTCTCTCTCTAAAGCTCTACAGAATGGAGTGTCGCTCCTTGTCTCCCTGCCCCGCCCACCGCTGGACCAGAGTGTTTGGAGAGAGACATTAAAACGAGGGGCTTCAGGGACTGAACAACCAACAAATCTATTTGAGAGAATGGATGCCTTCTGTTTCACTCCAGAGGAGTGACATCATGTGCCATTTTTGTATAGGCATATGGAGCACTAGAAGAAGGTAACAGGATGACTCTCAGAGAAGCTGAATATTGGTAACCTCAAGAAAAGATACGGAGAACATATGCAGACCTTTAGTATCTGCCACAAATTTATATCGTTTGCATCTAAAGTGTGTATGTGTATATATATGCATCTATATGTATATATATATATATATACACACATACATATTTATACCCACACACATACTGCTGACTTGGTTAAACCCCTGTGCTCTCTGCAATTGGAGAGAAAGTAGAGCAATATAGAATAATAAGTATGGCTTAGTTGGTAGAGTGCTAGCCAGTGAGTGAAGGTGGAAAATACTGCGTTTAAGTCCTGGTTTCAGACATAAGATAGAAAGAATAGAAAGAAAAGAAGGAAGGAAGGAAGGTAGGAAGGAAGGAAGGAAGAAAGAAAAAAAATGGTAAGCTGGGCCAGGTGCTGGTAACTCACATTTGTAATCCTAACTACTCAGGAGGCTGAGATCTGAGGACCACAGTTAGACCAGCCTGGCCTGGGAAGTCCATGAGGACTCTTTAATATATATATTGTTATTTATTGTAAAGATACTGTACAAAGGGGTTGCAGTTACAAGAGTAAGGTAATGAGTACACTTCCTATAAAGCATCATTACCCCCTCCTTTGTTTTTCCCCTACCATCCCTTCCCTCCCCACCTCCCCAACTCCTCCCCCCACCAAGCTGTAAAGCTCATTTTCAATGTAGTGTCTTGTACATCTCATTGTTACAATGGGTCATCTGTATCCTTATTTCAGCATTTTATTACTTACTCCAATTCTCTCTCTCTCTCTCTCTCTCATACACACACACACACACACACACACACACACACAGCCAGAAACAGAGATGCAACTCAAATGGTAGAATACTAGCCTTGAAGAAAAAAAAAAGGGCCCAGGAACAGCACCCAGGACCTGAGTTCAAGCCCCAGTTACCCAGCCCTCTATATATACAAATAGTAAGTTGGATTCATCCTAAGCACTGGAGCTGGAACTCTGTCCAGTAGACCACAGTTCCAGTTAGGTGGTATATAGTGCCAGGCATTGGAGTTATGTAGACCTTGTTTAATCTCTTGATGGTTCAGGGTCCTTATCTATGAGGGGGATACTCTGGTTAATCATCTCCATGTCATTACAAAAAGCAGTTGTGGGGACTGGGAAGGTGGCTCAGTGGTAGAGTGCTTGCCTTGCATGAGGCCCTGGGTTCCATTCCTTAGACATGACCTTACTTACTGGGAAGACCTTTAAGCCATTTTTCTTTCTGCACAAGAAATTTACTTGCTTGTGTGTTCTTAAAACAAAACAAGACAAAACAACTCAAGACTAAGTTATGCTGACCCTGAGGTCTGCTTCCTGTATGCTTCGTTGTGGGTTCTTAAGTGATTGTCCTTGAGGGTATTACAGACCTGGGCTTTTATTTCCTGAGAGCTGATTGCCTCTGCCCTCTAGAGAGTCATACTTCTCATCTGCAAATGGCACTGAATATATTTTTTTCTTCTCTGAGAACTGAGATAACAAAAAGCATCTTTAATTATTCAAATCTCATCATTCATCAACTTATTCTTTTCAATCAAAGCTGGAATTACCAAGGAGCTTGTTTTTTGTTGTTGCTGCTTTGTTTTTTGTTTTTGTTTTTTTTTAACCAAGTCAGCAACATATTTCTCTTTTACTTAAGTCTTCATCGTTTCTTCCTTTTTAAAAATGATTTCTTTGTCCTCTGATGGTATTGATCAGATAAATGCATTACATTCTTGCTGTATTTTTCTTTTTTTTTTTTTTTTTGGTCATGGGGCTTGAACTCTGAGCGCAGTCCCTGAGCTCTTCAGCTCAAGGCTAGCTCTACTACTTCAGCCACAGCACCACTTCTGGTTTTCTGGTGGTTAATTGGAGATAAGAGTCTCACAGCCTTTCCTGCCTGGGTTGGCTTTGAGCCGTGATCCTCAGATCTCAGCCTCCTGAGTAGCTAGGATTACAGGTGTGAGCCATTGACACCTGGCTTGTATTTTTCTTTAAGCCAGCTGATGATGCACTCACACAAGCCACCAAGAACAAAACCCCATATTTCTTTGATCACTTTACTTTCTGACATGCCTGTGTCTGTTTGAACAGTAGGGGTATTGATGTGTGCCACATCCTAGTTTATGACACATTTGTGATCACATAACTACTAAGATTCGAAGTTTCAGCACAGAGTCATGGTCTCTAGCCATTTAGAAAGAATGTGTCAAACTGGGTGCTGGTGGTTTAGGCCTGTAATCCCAGCAACTCAGGAAACTGAGATCTGAGGATCACAGTTCAAAGCCAGCCTGGGCAGGAAAGTCTGTGACTTATTCCTGTTAACCACCAGAAAACTGGAAGTGGTGCTGTGGCTCAAAGTGGTAGAGCACTAGCCTTGAGCAAAAGAGCTCAGAGACAGTGCCCAGACCCAGAGTTCAAGCCCCACAACTGACTAAAAAAGTGTCCTAATATATAACATATCTGTATTCTCTTTTATTCTCAATGACATAGTCTATCTCAAAAAAATTTTTTCTGTGGCCATCCTAGGGCTTGAACTCAGGACTTGAGTGTTGTCCCATAGCTCCATTTGTGTTATTTATTTATTTTTTTATTTGTGTCTCCAATTAAGGAGATGAAAGTCTCATGGACTTTCCTGCCCGGGCTGGCTTTGAACCTTGATCCTCAGATCTCAGCCTCCTGAGTAACTAGGATTACAGGCATGAGCCACCAGCACCTGGAGGCCTCTAAAACTTTAACCTTCCTAGTCTCCTCTCAAGAGGAAGAGCATCTGGGCCTCACAATTGCTTAACTATATAACGCATATTAAGCTCCCCCTGCAATGTTATCCTTTTCTCTTGAAGCAGAAAGATTCATATGTAAGTTCTTGTTTCAGCGTCACGTCTCAAATGTGATCATAGCTTTCAATGGTATAATCCATCTGAAATACAGTTGTTTTTCCTTTTTTTTATAGGATACTACAGACTATGTTGCCTACGTAGCTAAAGATCCAGTTAATCAAAGAGGTATGGAAACAACTCCTAGATTCTCTTAAAGCTATGAGATACCAACTTTAAATAGTAATAAGCAAGGAAGTGGAGCTGTGGCTCAAGTGGTAGAGCGCTAGCCTTGAGCTGAAGAGCTAAGGGACAGTGCCCAGGCCCAGAGTTCAGGCCCCACGAACGGACCCAAAAAAAAAAGATCTGAGACAGTGCCCAGGCCCTGAGTTCAAGCCCCACGAACGACAAAAAAAACAGGGGGTGGGGAGGATGAAAGGAAAAAGGAAAGAGGTCCTCATAAGGTCACCAATCAATAAATAAATCAATAAATAGATGAATCAATTCTACATCCTGAGCAGAACTTTATAGAAGAATATTACAAGCCACTAAGAAACATTTGGAAAAAAAATTTAGCCTCACTAGCAATGAGAGATGCAGAACGTATCATTAGATACTACATTTCTAACATTGAAAATTGTAAAATGTGGTTTAGATTGGAAGATACTATTGGATACTATTGATAAGTATGTAGATTTAGCCAGGTGCTAGCTACTCAGGAGTATTGCAGTTCATAGCCAGCCTGGGCAGGAAAGTCTGTGAAACTCTTATCTCAGTGAACCAGCAGGAAGCCAGAAATGGAGCTGTGGCTCAAGTGATAGAGCGCTAGCCTTGAGCAAAAAAGCACAGAGTCAGCATCCGGACCCTGAGATCAAGCCCCAGGACTGGAACAATAAATAAATAGAAAATCAAGTGAGCCATAGCATGTTTTTCTATGCAGCAATTTAGACTATTTTAGATTAATAAGTGATGACATGGGGAAAATATAGGATGCAAATGTGTGTAGTATGACTCAAGGTACAAGAGTAGACACCCATAGAATAAATATAGGAGAAATACACAACAAATTGTTTCCAATGGTTGTCCTCAGTAAGATTTTTGTATCATTAAAAAAATCTCTTCCTAGTGTTTTTTTAAATTTAGAATTCCTACAAAGAATATTTCATTTAAGAAAATAAATGAGGCCGGGCGCTGGTGGCTCACGCCTGTAATCCTAGCTACTCAGGAGGCTGAGATCTGAGGATCATGGTTCAAAGCCAGTTGGGGCAGGAAAGTCTGTGAGACTCTTATCTCCAATAAACCACCAGAAAACTGGAAGTGGTATGGTGGCTCAAGTGATAGAGTGCTCACCTTGAGCGGAAGAGCTGAGGGACAGTGCCTACACCAAGTTCAAGCCCCATGACTGACGAAAGAAAGAAAGGAAAGAAAGGAAAGGAAAGGAAAGAAAGAAAGGAGTTTGAAATCATTCAATAAGAATAGAAGAAAAAGGAGAGAATAAAGTTATAAAATTACCACAGGGAATTTAATTCACCCAGGAGAAAGTGGTAGACAAGTTCTTCTAAGAACTAGATCTTGAGGGACTGGACACAGGGAGAAGAAGATGGGCAAGGAAGGGGACAAGTAGAGGGGCAGAGGAGGGGAGAGAGGGAGAGAGAAATCAAGAACCAATATCTCTAGGGGAAAGTTTGGAAATCCACATCTTCTCAGCCCTAAGAATCCAGAGAGAACAGAGCTAAGAGTTTCAGGAGCACAAGTAATCAAAGGAGACGTGGCCCAGCAGTAGAAGGGAGGACACCAGGAGGTCAGAATCACCCAAAAAAGGCGAAGAGCCACTTTCTCCTGGAGATGTCAGAGATGGTCACACACTGAAAAGGACTCGAGGGGAATGAAGAGCAGGAAAATGGGTTCCAGTACAATGATCAGGCCACGGGGTGCTATGGAAGGCACACGTTTTGGTGGGCTAGTAAAGACAGGAGCCAGATGGTTGGGCTGAGGAGGCTGACAGGAAGTGGGGAGCAAGAAGCAGAGAGGACTGGGCTTTTGGTTAGTCTTCTGGAACGTTCCCATGTTTCCCATGTACATTTTGCACGAGTGCATTTACTTTTTGCACGAGTGCGTTTGGATCGAGATGCTTGTCACGTTTGCCTTTCTTGGCAAGAACTCGTCAGTGAATTTTTTTTTTATTTCATAGAAGACCTTTTCTATACAAAAGGCAAGTTCCAATGAGAAGAGTTTGCGTTTACTTGGTGATAAATACGGCCTTCTCCTGTAGTTGCAATAAATGAAGGAACCTATATTCTCTTTACCTCTTACTCCAAATCTATTACAGTCCAGGAAGGTTTTAGGGTTTTCTCTGAAAGAATGTCTAAAGAGGGCCTAGTTTACTTGGACTGCCAGGATATAGGAAAACACCAGAAGGCTAATTTAAACGAACAGACTGATGTATATTTATGTTTATGATTGCGAAGTGTATGCACCATTGTCCCTATGACATTGGTTAATTCAGGCTGACTTTTTTTGGTCCCATAGCACCATCTGGTGGGAAACTTGAGAAATGAAACTTGTGTAAATTTCTAGTTTTCTAGATTTGCCTAGTTCTTAACAAACACAATCCATGAAGAAGGGCCTGCTATCTTCTAAGAGTAGCTCTCATCCTTTCTATGTGATTAGGAAACCTATTGGAAATGAAAAAGATAGAATTCTTTTATATTTTACTACGGTACCTGATACACAGGGGTAGAGCTGTGTGTCCATCTGGCTTCATTCAAGGGAGGAATGAAAAGAATCCAGATCTGCATCTGGTTCCAAACATGGAGAGAAAGGCTTAACCTTCTTGGAAAAAGTTAGAACATCACCAGAAGTTTTTAGCTGGGCACCGGTGGCTCATGCCTTACTACTAGCTTATTCAGGAGCTTGAATTTTAAGGACCAAGTTTTGAAGCTACCTGGGCCCAAAAGTCTGCAGGACTCTCTTTTTCTTCTATTATACAGAAAAAGGCCAGGCTGGAAGTGTGGCTCAAGTGGTAGAGTACCAGCCATGAGCAATAAGTTCAGTGTGAATTCCAGGAAGGCATGGGGCTTTTTTTTTTTTTAAACATATTTGTGTTTTTCTCTTTTCCCGTTGCTGAAAATTGGGCAATTCTTGGCCAGGGTTTTAAGATACTGGGAAGTCACATGTGTGTATATGAGTTCAGGCTGTGACCCACCTAAAAAAAAAAACCAAAGACCATTTCTTGCTTGTATGTGAGAATAGAACTGTTAGAATGGAAACGTTTCCTGACAGTGTAGAGACGTAGCTATACCCAGAAAGGTTGGCCTGTTGTCCAGTATTATTTCTTTCATAGAGAGTTAGGTACCTTTTTCTTTTTTTCTTTGTTTTTATCAATTGTGTGGTTTGAATTTAGGGTCTGAGTGCTCTCTGAGATTTTTCACTCAAAGCTAGTATTCTGCCACTTTGAGTCACAGTGCCATTTCTGGTTTTCTAGTAGTTACTTGGAGATAAGTAACTCACAGACTTTCCTGCCTGGGCTGGCTCTGAACCACGATCCTCAGATCTCTGCCTCCTGTGTAGCTAAGATTACAGGCATGAGCCACCAGTGCCCAGCTTTGAAGAGATCTTATAAACTTGTTTCTTTTTATCCACATGCCAATTCCTGTTCTAGATATATTATTAATTTATATCACCTTTTACTGAAAATGTACTGCAATATTAATTTTTTTGGGGGGGCGGGGTTGGTCATGGGCCTGAACTCTGGGCCTGGGCGCTGTCCCTCAGTTCTTTAGCTCAAGGCTAGCCCTCTACCACTTGAGCCACAGCGCCATTTCCAGCTTTTTTCTGCTTATGTGGTGCTAAGGAATTGAACCCAGGGCCTCATGCATACAAGGCGAGCGCTCTACCACTGAGCCACCTTCCCAGCCCCTACAGTATTAATTTTTATATGTCTCCTTACAGCATGTCACATATTGAAGTGTCGCAGTGGAATGGCGCAAGATGTCATAAGTACTATAGGACAGGCCTTTGAGCTCCGGTTTAAACAGTACTTGAAAAATCCTTCTCTGAATACTTCTTGTGAAAGGTCAGTTGTGAGTTCTATAATTATATGACTTCTCTCTCTCTCTCTCACATCGTGGTGCTTGAACTCTGGGCCTGGGTGCTGTCCCTGAGCTCTTCAGCTCACGGTCAGTGCTCTACCACTTGAGCCACATCGCCACTTCCACGGTGGCTGGTGTGAGCCACTGGCGCCCAGCTTTCTTCTTGTTTTATAACAAAGACTGAAGAAGACACCCAAAGGGAGAAGGCATGGGGCCCATTTCTCTCCTGTTACATACAGCTATAGGCTAAGCAGTTGGAATATGGTAGGCACCAAGACATTTCCCAGCTTTGCTTTTCACCCCAGATCTCTTGCATATTGGTAAAAAGAAAACAAAAGCAAAACTAAGAGCCAGGAGCAAAACAGTAAAAAGCAAATGTGAGCAAATGCCAGTGTGTCTGCTGGTTTCCGGTCCAGCTCCAGATCTTGTGTGGCTACACAAGGAACTCCACGCCCAGGGAGCTGGTTATTCTCTCCAAGACCCGGAAAGTTCACCAGGGAAGCTCAACCCTCTTAGCCCCTCAGACTCCACCCGGTGTAGAGAGCAAGGTTGTCACTGGCTCACACTGTAAATGCTTCTCCTTTTACAAGGAGTGTGTTTTCCCTAAATTTTTGTGTTGATATTTTGTATATCAGCAAACAGTGGGTTTGGAGATCTACTTTTATGAGATGATCTTTGGTAACAAAAAAAAAAGGGAGTTATTAGCTGGGCGCTGGTGGCTCACACCTGTAATCCTAGCTGCTCAGGAGACTGAGATCTGAGGATCCTAGTTGGAGGCCAGCCCAGGTAGGAAAAGTCTACATGAGTCTTATCTCCAACTTACCACCAAAAAGCTGAAAGTAGAGCACCAGCCTTGAGCAAAAAAAAAAAAAAAGCTCCGGGATGGCAGGGTGCCAGTGTCTCACATATCTGTAACCCTAGCTACTCAGGGGGCTGAGATCTGAGGATCACAGTTTGAAGCCAATACAGGCAGGGAAGTCTGTGAGACTCTTACCTCCAATTAATCACATAAAAAGAAGTGACGCTGTGGCTCAAGTGATAGAGGGCTAGCTTTGAGCAAAAGGGAACTAAGGGACAGTGCTCAAGCCCAGAGTTCAAGGCCCAAGTCTGACCAAAAAAAAAAAAAAAGCTAAGGGAAAGTCCCTAAGCCACGAGTTCAAGCCCCAGCCTGGCACAAAACAATAAAATACATATAGACAAATAAATAAAATGACTTGATTATTGCTTTTAGACAAGGCATTTACTAATTCCAATTGGGAAGAAAAGTACTTTTGTTTATTTTTTTTAAATCCTGTTTCATTTAAAAAAAAAAAACAATTGCACGTTTATATAAATCTACCCACTTGACACAGATAGTTCTAATATTTCTTTATGAATCCCATAGATGCCAGATTTGTGCAAGCAGTGTTATCTCCCTCCCTCCGTCCCTCCCTCCCATTTTCCCTCCCTCCCTCCTTCTCTCTCTCTCTCTCTCTCTCCCCCTCTCTCTCTCACATACACACACACACACACACACATTAGTCATTTTAGTCTAGTAACACAGAGGCATATCTACCCTAAGAACAGTATCTAAATTTTCTCATGTTTCCACAGCGGAACAATTGAACCGTGTTGGATATGCAAGAAAGACTTTTGCATTGTTTATGATCCTCAGTCAAAAATGTCTCCCATGTAGAGAGCTCGTTATTTGTTGCTCTTGTTGGTCACTGCAGGAGATACAGACACATCACCCGTCGCTCCTCTTCCATTGTCTGTAGCCATCTGAACAACACAGCCCTGTAGACATTTCCACCCAGATGTTTGGCATCACTCAGGCCCCACGATCAACTTAGAACGGCAGTGCAGAGATTTTTAATGCACCATTTGAATTCCCACCCAACCTTTTGGGATTCTTCCCCCCACCCCCTCCTTCCAGTGAAGAGGCGCATATCGAAGGCCAGGCCGAGGAGAGAGGCGATCACGAATACTACAATGAAATCCCAGGAAAGCTGCCACCTGCTGGTGGCCTCTCAGATGTGAGGATTAAAGTTCAACCTGCGGAACAAATGGCTTACTGCCCCATCCCGTGTGAGAAGTTGTGCTATTTAGTAAGTGATTTTTTTTTAATTGCAACTGGCACCAAAAATGTGATTCTGTCTTTATCACGAGAGCACTTGTAGCTTGAGGGTTTCCAAATGTGGGGCTGCAGAGAAAAGTGCTGTCTTCATCAAATGTACAGCCAGGGAGGAAATGATGGTGGGAGCCTGGATCATTTTCATTCTCAACCTCCTGTCCAGCATCTCAGCAGATGATGATCCCGCCCCTCCTCTGTGTCCCCCTCCCCCTTTATTTTTGTCCATGAATCCAGTCTGCCAACCTCAAAGTTAGCTGGCTACCTGGCCAGCATTCATACAGAGATCCTCAAAATTACTTTCTCACGGAGGCTTGATTGTGTGACCTGGAATATGAATGCTGGAGCAGAGGCAAGCACCCCCAGATACAGGACATTGGGTGTTCTTTTTATCTACCTCTGCAGGACCAAAGGCAAACTAAAAGGGGTGTGGTCTCCCCATCTATAATCTCAGTTTCAGATCTGCTAGAGAATGAAATTGTGTGTTACAATCTTCTGAGAGCGTCATTAGTGGCAGGCACCGGTGGCTCACGCCTGTAAAATCCTAGCCCCTCAGGAGTCTGAGATCTGAGGATCTCAGTCCGGACAGAAAAGTCTGTGAGACTCTTATCTCCAATAAACCACCAGAAAACTGGAAGTGGCGCTGTGGCTCAAGTGGTAGAGCTCTAGCCTTGAGCTCAAGAGCTCAGAGACAGTGCCCAGACCCAGAGTTCAAGCCCCACAACTGACTAAAAAAGTGTCCTAATATATAACATATCTGTATTCTCTTTTATTCTCAATGACATAGTCTATCTCAAAAAAATTTTTTCTGTGGCCATCCTAGGGCTTGAACTCAGGACTTGAGTGTTGTCCCATAGCTCCATTTGTGTTATTTATTTATTTTTTTATTTGTGTCTCCAATTAAGGAGATGAAAGTCTCATGGACTTTCCTGCCCGGGCTGGCTTTGAACCTTGATCCTCAGATCTCAGCCTCCTGAGTAACTAGGATTACAGGCATGAGCCACCAGCACCTGGAGGCCTCTAAAACTTTAACCTTCCTAGTCTCCTCTCAAGAGGAAGAGCATCTGGGCCTCACAATTGCTTAACTATATAACGCATATTAAGCTCCCCCTGCAATGTTATCCTTTTCTCTTGAAGCAGAAAGATTCATATGTAAGTTCTTGTTTCAGCGTCACGTCTCAAATGTGATCATAGCTTTCAATGGTATAATCCATCTGAAATACAGTTGTTTTTCCTTTTTTTTATAGGATACTACAGACTATGTTGCCTACGTAGCTAAAGATCCAGTTAATCAAAGAGGTATGGAAACAACTCCTAGATTCTCTTAAAGCTATGAGATACCAACTTTAAATAGTAATAAGCAAGGAAGTGGAGCTGTGGCTCAAGTGGTAGAGCGCTAGCCTTGAGCTGAAGAGCTAAGGGACAGTGCCCAGGCCCAGAGTTCAGGCCCCACGAACGGACCCAAAAAAAAAAGATCTGAGACAGTGCCCAGGCCCTGAGTTCAAGCCCCACGAACGACAAAAAAAACAGGGGGTGGGGAGGAAGAAAGGAAAAAGGAAAGAGGTCCTCATAAGGTCACCAATCAATAAATAAATCAATAAATAGATGAATCAATTCTACATCCTGAGCAGAACTTTATAGAAGAATATTACAAGCCACTAAGAAACATTTGGAAAAAAAATTTAGCCTCACTAGCAATGAGAGATGCAGAACGTATCATTAGATACTACATTTCTAACATTGAAAATTGTAAAATGTGGTTTAGATTGGAAGATACTATTGGATACTATTGATAAGTATGTAGATTTAGCCAGGTGCTAGCTACTCAGGAGTATTGCAGTTCATAGCCAGCCTGGGCAGGAAAGTCTGTGAAACTCTTATCTCAGTGAACCAGCAGGAAGCCAGAAATGGAGCTGTGGCTCAAGTGATAGAGCGCTAGCCTTGAGCAAAAAAGCACAGAGTCAGCATCCGGACCCTGAGATCAAGCCCCAGGACTGGAACAATAAATAAATAGAAAATCAAGTGAGCCATAGCATGTTTTTCTATGCAGCAATTTAGACTATTTTAGATTAATAAGTGATGACATGGGGAAAATATAGGATGCAAATGTGTGTAGTATGACTCAAGGTACAAGAGTAGACACCCATAGAATAAATATAGGAGAAATACACAACAAATTGTTTCCAATGGTTGTCCTCAGTAAGATTTTTGTATCATTAAAAAAATCTCTTCCTAGTGTTTTTTTAAATTTAGAATTCCTACAAAGAATATTTCATTTAAGAAAATAAATGAGGCCGGGCGCTGGTGGCTCACGCCTGTAATCCTAGCTACTCAGGAGGCTGAGATCTGAGGATCATGGTTCAAAGCCAGTTGGGGCAGGAAAGTCTGTGAGACTCTTATCTCCAATAAACCACCAGAAAACTGGAAGTGGTATGGTGGCTCAAGTGATAGAGTGCTCACCTTGAGCGGAAGAGCTGAGGGACAGTGCCTACACCAAGTTCAAGCCCCATGACTGACGAAAGAAAGAAAGGAAAGAAAGGAAAGGAAAGGAAAGAAAGAAAGGAGTTTGAAATCATTCAATAAGAATAGAAGAAAAAGGAGAGAATAAAGTTATAAAATTACCACAGGGAATTTAATTCACCCAGGAGAAAGTGGTAGACAAGTTCTTCTAAGAACTAGATCTTGAGGGACTGGACACAGGGAGAAGAAGATGGGCAAGGAAGGGGACAAGTAGAGGGGCAGAGGAGGGGAGAGAGGGAGAGAGAAATCAAGAACCAATATCTCTAGGGGAAAGTTTGGAAATCCACATCTTCTCAGCCCTAAGAATCCAGAGAGAACAGAGCTAAGAGTTTCAGGAGCACAAGTAATCAAAGGAGACGTGGCCCAGCAGTAGAAGGGAGGACACCAGGAGGTCAGAATCACCCAAAAAAGGCGAAGAGCCACTTTCTCCTGGAGATGTCAGAGATGGTCACACACTGAAAAGGACTCGAGGGGAATGAAGAGCAGGAAAATGGGTTCCAGTACAATGATCAGGCCACGGGGTGCTATGGAAGGCACACGTTTTGGTGGGCTAGTAAAGACAGGAGCCAGATGGTTGGGCTGAGGAGGCTGACAGGAAGTGGGGAGCAAGAAGCAGAGAGGACTGGGCTTTTGGTTAGTCTTCTGGAACGTTCCCATGTTTCCCATGTACATTTTGCACGAGTGCATTTACTTTTTGCACGAGTGCGTTTGGATCGAGATGCTTGTCACGTTTGCCTTTCTTGGCAAGAACTCGTCAGTGAATTTTTTTTTTATTTCATAGAAGACCTTTTCTATACAAAAGGCAAGTTCCAATGAGAAGAGTTTGCGTTTACTTGGTGATAAATACGGCCTTCTCCTGTAGTTGCAATAAATGAAGGAACCTATATTCTCTTTACCTCTTACTCCAAATCTATTACAGTCCAGGAAGGTTTTAGGGTTTTCTCTGAAAGAATGTCTAAAGAGGGCCTAGTTTACTTGGACTGCCAGGATATAGGAAAACACCAGAAGGCTAATTTAAACGAACAGACTGATGTATATTTATGTTTATGATTGCGAAGTGTATGCACCATTGTCCCTATGACATTGGTTAATTCAGGCTGACTTTTTTTGGTCCCATAGCACCATCTGGTGGGAAACTTGAGAAATGAAACTTGTGTAAATTTCTAGTTTTCTAGATTTGCCTAGTTCTTAACAAACACAATCCATGAAGAAGGGCCTGCTATCTTCTAAGAGTAGCTCTCATCCTTTCTATGTGATTAGGAAACCTATTGGAAATGAAAAAGATAGAATTCTTTTATATTTTACTACGGTACCTGATACACAGGGGTAGAGCTGTGTGTCCATCTGGCTTCATTCAAGGGAGGAATGAAAAGAATCCAGATCTGCATCTGGTTCCAAACATGGAGAGAAAGGCTTAACCTTCTTGGAAAAAGTTAGAACATCACCAGAAGTTTTTAGCTGGGCACCGGTGGCTCATGCCTTACTACTAGCTTATTCAGGAGCTTGAATTTTAAGGACCAAGTTTTGAAGCTACCTGGGCCCAAAAGTCTGCAGGACTCTCTTTTTCTTCTATTATACAGAAAAAGGCCAGGCTGGAAGTGTGGCTCAAGTGGTAGAGTACCAGCCATGAGCAATAAGTTCAGTGTGAATTCCAGGAAGGCATGGGGCTTTTTTTTTTTTTAAACATATTTGTGTTTTTCTCTTTTCCCGTTGCTGAAAATTGGGCAATTCTTGGCCAGGGTTTTAAGATACTGGGAAGTCACATGTGTGTATATGAGTTCAGGCTGTGACCCACCTAAAAAAAAAAACCAAAGACCATTTCTTGCTTGTATGTGAGAATAGAACTGTTAGAATGGAAACGTTTCCTGACAGTGTAGAGACGTAGCTATACCCAGAAAGGTTGGCCTGTTGTCCAGTATTATTTCTTTCATAGAGAGTTAGGTACCTTTTTCTTTTTTTCTTTGTTTTTATCAATTGTGTGGTTTGAATTTAGGGTCTGAGTGCTCTCTGAGATTTTTCACTCAAAGCTAGTATTCTGCCACTTTGAGTCACAGTGCCATTTCTGGTTTTCTAGTAGTTACTTGGAGATAAGTAACTCACAGACTTTCCTGCCTGGGCTGGCTCTGAACCACGATCCTCAGATCTCTGCCTCCTGTGTAGCTAAGATTACAGGCATGAGCCACCAGTGCCCAGCTTTGAAGAGATCTTATAAACTTGTTTCTTTTTATCCACATGCCAATTCCTGTTCTAGATATATTATTAATTTATATCACCTTTTACTGAAAATGTACTGCAATATTAATTTTTTTGGGGGGGCGGGGTTGGTCATGGGCCTGAACTCTGGGCCTGGGCGCTGTCCCTCAGTTCTTTAGCTCAAGGCTAGCCCTCTACCACTTGAGCCACAGCGCCATTTCCAGCTTTTTTCTGCTTATGTGGTGCTAAGGAATTGAACCCAGGGCCTCATGCATACAAGGCGAGCGCTCTACCACTGAGCCACCTTCCCAGCCCCTACAGTATTAATTTTTATATGTCTCCTTACAGCATGTCACATATTGAAGTGTCGCAGTGGAATGGCGCAAGATGTCATAAGTACTATAGGACAGGCCTTTGAGCTCCGGTTTAAACAGTACTTGAAAAATCCTTCTCTGAATACTTCTTGTGAAAGGTCAGTTGTGAGTTCTATAATTATATGACTTCTCTCTCTCTCTCTCACATCGTGGTGCTTGAACTCTGGGCCTGGGTGCTGTCCCTGAGCTCTTCAGCTCACGGTCAGTGCTCTACCACTTGAGCCACATCGCCACTTCCACGGTGGCTGGTGTGAGCCACTGGCGCCCAGCTTTCTTCTTGTTTTATAACAAAGACTGAAGAAGACACCCAAAGGGAGAAGGCATGGGGCCCATTTCTCTCCTGTTACATACAGCTATAGGCTAAGCAGTTGGAATATGGTAGGCACCAAGACATTTCCCAGCTTTGCTTTTCACCCCAGATCTCTTGCATATTGGTAAAAAGAAAACAAAAGCAAAACTAAGAGCCAGGAGCAAAACAGTAAAAAGCAAATGTGAGCAAATGCCAGTGTGTCTGCTGGTTTCCGGTCCAGCTCCAGATCTTGTGTGGCTACACAAGGAACTCCACGCCCAGGGAGCTGGTTATTCTCTCCAAGACCCGGAAAGTTCACCAGGGAAGCTCAACCCTCTTAGCCCCTCAGACTCCACCCGGTGTAGAGAGCAAGGTTGTCACTGGCTCACACTGTAAATGCTTCTCCTTTTACAAGGAGTGTGTTTTCCCTAAATTTTTGTGTTGATATTTTGTATATCAGCAAACAGTGGGTTTGGAGATCTACTTTTATGAGATGATCTTTGGTAACAAAAAAAAAAGGGAGTTATTAGCTGGGCGCTGGTGGCTCACACCTGTAATCCTAGCTGCTCAGGAGACTGAGATCTGAGGATCCTAGTTGGAGGCCAGCCCAGGTAGGAAAAGTCTACATGAGTCTTATCTCCAACTTACCACCAAAAAGCTGAAAGTAGAGCACCAGCCTTGAGCAAAAAAAAAAAAAAAGCTCCGGGATGGCAGGGTGCCAGTGTCTCACATATCTGTAACCCTAGCTACTCAGGGGGCTGAGATCTGAGGATCACAGTTTGAAGCCAATACAGGCAGGGAAGTCTGTGAGACTCTTACCTCCAATTAATCACATAAAAAGAAGTGACGCTGTGGCTCAAGTGATAGAGGGCTAGCTTTGAGCAAAAGGGAACTAAGGGACAGTGCTCAAGCCCAGAGTTCAAGGCCCAAGTCTGACCAAAAAAAAAAAAAAAGCTAAGGGAAAGTCCCTAAGCCACGAGTTCAAGCCCCAGCCTGGCACAAAACAATAAAATACATATAGACAAATAAATAAAATGACTTGATTATTGCTTTTAGACAAGGCATTTACTAATTCCAATTGGGAAGAAAAGTACTTTTGTTTATTTTTTTTAAATCCTGTTTCATTTAAAAAAAAAAAACAATTGCACGTTTATATAAATCTACCCACTTGACACAGATAGTTCTAATATTTCTTTATGAATCCCATAGATGCCAGATTTGTGCAAGCAGTGTTATCTCCCTCCCTCCGTCCCTCCCTCCCATTTTCCCTCCCTCCCTCCTTCTCTCTCTCTCTCTCTCTCTCCCCCTCTCTCTCTCACATACACACACACACACACACACATTAGTCATTTTAGTCTAGTAACACAGAGGCATATCTACCCTAAGAACAGTATCTAAATTTTCTCATGTTTCCACAGCGGAACAATTGAACCGTGTTGGATATGCAAGAAAGACTTTTGCATTGTTTATGATCCTCAGTCAAAAATGTCTCCCATGTAGAGAGCTCGTTATTTGTTGCTCTTGTTGGTCACTGCAGGAGATACAGACACATCACCCGTCGCTCCTCTTCCATTGTCTGTAGCCATCTGAACAACACAGCCCTGTAGACATTTCCACCCAGATGTTTGGCATCACTCAGGCCCCACGATCAACTTAGAACGGCAGTGCAGAGATTTTTAATGCACCATTTGAATTCCCACCCAACCTTTTGGGATTCTTCCCCCCACCCCCTCCTTCCAGTGAAGAGGCGCATATCGAAGGCCAGGCCGAGGAGAGAGGCGATCACGAATACTACAATGAAATCCCAGGAAAGCTGCCACCTGCTGGTGGCCTCTCAGATGTGAGGATTAAAGTTCAACCTGCGGAACAAATGGCTTACTGCCCCATCCCGTGTGAGAAGTTGTGCTATTTAGTAAGTGATTTTTTTTTAATTGCAACTGGCACCAAAAATGTGATTCTGTCTTTATCACGAGAGCACTTGTAGCTTGAGGGTTTCCAAATGTGGGGCTGCAGAGAAAAGTGCTGTCTTCATCAAATGTACAGCCAGGGAGGAAATGATGGTGGGAGCCTGGATCATTTTCATTCTCAACCTCCTGTCCAGCATCTCAGCAGATGATGATCCCGCCCCTCCTCTGTGTCCCCCTCCCCCTTTATTTTTGTCCATGAATCCAGTCTGCCAACCTCAAAGTTAGCTGGCTACCTGGCCAGCATTCATACAGAGATCCTCAAAATTACTTTCTCACGGAGGCTTGATTGTGTGACCTGGAATATGAATGCTGGAGCAGAGGCAAGCACCCCCAGATACAGGACATTGGGTGTTCTTTTTATCTACCTCTGCAGGACCAAAGGCAAACTAAAAGGGGTGTGGTCTCCCCATCTATAATCTCAGTTTCAGATCTGCTAGAGAATGAAATTGTGTGTTACAATCTTCTGAGAGCGTCATTAGTGGCAGGCACCGGTGGCTCACGCCTGTAAAATCCTAGCCCCTCAGGAGTCTGAGATCTGAGGATCTCAGTCCGGACAGAAAAGTCTGTGAGACTCTTATCTCCAATAAACCACCAGAAAACTGGAAGTGGCGCTGTGGCTCAAGTGGTAGAGCTCTAGCCTTGAGCTCAAGAGCTCAGAGACAGTGCCCAGACCCAGAGTTCAAGCCCCACAACTGACTAAAAAAGTGTCCTAATATATAACATATCTGTATTCTCTTTTATTCTCAATGACATAGTCTATCTCAAAAAAATTTTTTCTGTGGCCATCCTAGGGCTTGAACTCAGGACTTGAGT